ACACACACAGAAATTATGTATGTATGTATGTATGTATGTATGTATGTATGTATGTATGTATGTATGTATGTATGTATTGTCAAGGCACCTGGTATGCCCAAATATGGGAGGGAGCATACTGCTTATATATAGATGAAAAAAGAAAGAAAGAGCGGTCAACAGGTTAAGCTAAATATTACACTAATCTCCAGATCCCTCTGTTAATCATCTGTTATTGTATTTGGCACATAGAAAGTCCACAAATGGTTTCCAGTCTCTTACAAAGTTATTTAGTCCATTATCTCTGATCAAAGCAGAGATAATTTCGCCATCTTGGCTACTTCAATCAATTTTAAAGTCCATTGCTCAACATTTGGCATCAGTGCTTCCCAAAATACAATTGTTGCAGCCATCACCATGTGAAGAATACCACTCCAAATTGTTTTTCAATTGGCTTGTCCAAAATACCTAAAAGAAAAACTTCATGTTTCCATAATATTTGTATCTTAAATATTTTCTAGAATGTCATTGTTATGTTTGTCCAGTATGTTTTCACATACTTGCAAGACAACCACATACGATAATATGAACCTAGATTTTAACTACATTTCCAACACTTATCAAAAGTCCCACTTTTGCTAATCTATCTGGGTTCAAATGCCAACAATACATCATTTTATTAAAACAATTGTTTCAAGCTATAATTTAATGCAGATTTTAGTCCAATACTCCATATATTCTCCCATTTATCTATCGTTATGTTATACCCAATTTTTTTGCCCACTTTACAATACCATCTTTAACATATTCATCTTCCAGATTCATCTTGAGTAAAATTTTATATACCTCACCAATCAAGTGGTCATCTCCAGAAGATAAATTAATGTCCAGTTCACATTTAGTTCCTGTGAAAACAAAACTTTTTAAATCAAGTTTAAAAATTCTATAATAATTAAACCAATCAATATTTTTTTCTAATTTAAATATTGATTTGAAATATTTTTTTTGCAGTAATTTTGATCAAGATGTAGTCGGCCTTATACTCAATGGAATTTAGTTAATTATAGCAATAGCAGTTAGACTTATATACCGCTTCATAGGGCTTTCAGCCCTCTCTAAGCAGTTTACAGAGTCAGCATATTGCCCCCAACAACGATCAACTGTCTTGTCTTCAAAAGTACTCCTCCCCCAAGAATGTTGAAGGGACTGGTGGTTTTAAATTCAGCTGTAGAACATGGTTCCATCAGTGGGTATGGCTCAAATGTGAGAAGAACTTTGTGGTGGCAACACTGTAGAAGGCACAGACTATTTCTTCAAGGAAAATTTGGCTGATTTTGATCCTGATCCTTTTGCTACTCAAGATACTTGTATATGCGGAATAATTGTTTTGGGACCACCCTATCTTTTAAACATGTGACGTGTCACATGATGTCATGCTGGCCACATGACCAAGAAAAAGTCTTCGGACAGCTCTGGCTCAAGGGCTTTGAAATGGAGATGAGAACCACCCCCTATAGTTGTCAATGACTAACAAAGTAAAATCTGCAGGGATTTCTTAACTTTTTTTTTTACCTTACCTGTCTTGAAAACAGATATTGTGGTTAATTCCTATTTTTTTACTGTTTTATTGTCTGATATTAGTATAGATGTTTCTATTACTCATTGCTGTTACTTTATAAATTAACGATGTATTTTTTTGTATACTTGTATGAGCAATTTCAAGTGATATAAATTATTAACAGTAATGTTAGAGGGCCTGGTCTGTCATTGCACCTGGATTCAAATTTTCATTTAAATCAAATGAAGTACATTTAAAAAATCAATGCAAACTTTTGCTTGGATGATTGGAAAAAAGAGTTTAATTTGCAGAACTATCCATTCTGTAAATGGAATTCTATCCTCTTGAGTACAAGATTCTTCAAGGGACAAAATTGAAACTAAGAACATTTGGTTTTATTGTGTTTCTGTCTTCACTTGTGGCATTAATCATCATTTTAGTCCTTTCAATAATTTTCAATATTTAAAGGAAAAGCAGATTCAAATATGAGATAATGTTTTGTATTAACTATCTCCATAGATTCTGTCACTTTGCATTTTCTATATTTGTTTATTTTTGCTTACTCTGCAGACATTTGTTGTTTCAAGTACACTTTGTGTGTTTTCTCATTGATCTGGTTTTATGTAAATACCTCCTTATTTTAGTATTTTTCTTTCTACTTACATTATATTTAACTTACATACCTTCATTGTCTCCATCTGTTGTAAAAGACAACAGTTTGTCTTTGACACCTTACTTACATAAACTTTGTTCTGTATATATAGTATTCTGTATTCAGTATACTAATTGTAAACTGATGTGATAACTTTCTCCAACTTTCTCCATCCGTCAGATGAACTGAAACTGAAAATTTCAGAAATCTACTACATCTGCAGGACACTAGTTTGGGAGATTCTAGTCTAAATAAATATGCATGTAATTACTGGTGATACAATGTCTTGTTTGCTTTTTTTTAATACTGTTATTGGTTTTATATTCCACCATTGCAGATTTTTGGCAGAGTTATTTTTATTGCTTTGATTTTTTTAATTCTTGTAAAACACCTTGGCTTAATTTGAATTCATTACACAGCATAGATGTATGTGTAATACTTGTAAAAATATTTGTAACTTTTTCTTCTAATTAATTTTTTATACACTGATTTGGTATTTTATTAAGGAAGGGAAATGAAACTTGAACTCAACATCCTGTTGCAATTTGTGTGAACATATCTACTACGGAAGATATGGAACATGGTAGTTCATTGGCTAAGACACTGAGTTTGTCGATTAGAAAGATTGGAATCTTGGAATTGGAATTAGAAAGCAATTTGACGGTTCGAATCCCTAGTGCAATGTAACAGAGTGAACTCCCGTTACTTGTCCCAGCTTCTGCCAACCTAGCAGTTTGAAAGCATGTAAAAATGCAAGTAGAAAAATAGGAACCACCTTTGGTTGGAAGGTAACAGTGTTCCATGCGCCTTTGGCATTTAGTCATGCTGGCCACATGACTACGGAGACGTTTTTGGGCAGCACTGGCTATTTGGCTTTGAAACTGGGATGAGCACCGTCCGTAGAGTTGGGAACGACTAGTACATATGTGCAAGGGGAATTTTTACCTTTATCTTTTATCCACTACCTTTCTTCTATCAATAGACATAACTGAGAATCTCAGAAAGTCTCCTACTCAAGCACTGAATAAATTGTATCATTTCAGGAAATACATTTGCCATTTGTTTCCAGATTGTGGTTCATAGTTTAAATATGGGTCAGGAAAATACGGTGCACCAGATATATTGGAACTAGTTTTTATCAGTCTTGATCAACATGGTTAACAATCATGAATGATTTACATAGAATCCAGCTATATCTTGAGGGCCACAAGTTCTCCACCTCTGATTTAGAAGTTACTACATCTCTTTATTTCTTGTATCAATTAAATTATTTGTTATAAAGAAGAAATCAGGCTCAAACTGATTTTTAAATCCAGATTTAATCTCCATTGCTAATATTGACCTGGATTCCTCAGATCCAGAAAACAATAAAAGTTCCTGCTATTTCTCATGACGCTTAAAAGAGAAGAGGAAAGATAAGGGAGGAAGAGGGTTGAGGTAAGGTGGCTTTAGTACAGTTTGTCATCATCACAGGAAAACCTTGTTTCCTATTATAACAAAACTGAACTTGCTCATTTTTTTGTAGGAGATAATATAAAATGTCTAACTGGGAAAATGTGCTGCTTCATTCACCATGGTTTCTATTCATAGCAGAGACGTTAAGTCAATATTGGAAAGAACATTACTTTTTCAGTATTAGTTTTACTAGTGAAAGAATTGAATCTAAACAAGATAACTGGCCAAAACCTATCTATATTGTGTAACAATTTTATGTCAATTTCCTGGAAACTTGACTGCCTAAAGGAGAGTTTTTTTAATGCAGGGATTAAAATTTTGGGGATGGTGTAAGGACTTCTGGGTTGTGGCAAGGGATTGGACTAGAAGACCCCAAGGTCCCTTCCAGCCCTAGGATTCTATGAGCCTTTTTTAAAAGGCAGGGCAGGGGAGTGGAGAAAAGGACTGATTTGTTCCTTATTTGATAAATGATATTTTTCATGTAGAATGCATTTTTACATTCAGTATATTTCATGTATTAGCATGGGAGGGAACGGATGGCGACATGAAAAACATGCTGGTTTAAGGTTAGGCCTGGACATTTTTGGTAATAAAACTTATTTAGAAATCCAGAAATATTTGTATTTGCTTGATACAAAATAGAATGATAATAGAAAAATCATGCAAAGTTATATTTATTCTGGAATCTCTGGATAATTTCTTGCAGTATGCTATTTTCTTTACTCTAAAAGTGTGTGTGTGTATGTATATGTATACGTATACTGTATGTGTATATATACATATACATACATACATACATACATACATACATACATACATACATACATACATATATATTGGATGTGTGGAAATTATCTGGATTTGAAGGATGAGGATGCAATCACTTGCATTACAGCCAAAATCAACAATGACCAAGCTCTAAGTGTGAACATTGATGTTACTGAACAGCAGCATTTTTACCTGAGATGCCAGCTGGTAGTTACAAAGGTGTTATATAGATGACCAGACATTCCCTGAGATCTTCATTTAAACTTAAAACTGAAATTTTAGTTGTGTTGCTTAGAGAGTTATATTAGTTTAAGCTCCTCTTTTTCCAAGTGTATGTATGTAAATGGGAAGGTTTCCAAGATTACATGTAACCCATGTAACTTTCTTTCTGTCCCTTCTCCTATATCAGTGACCTTCCCAGCATGGCCAACTTCCTGTCTGTTCTCTGGGGCCATCCCCACCCCTTTTGCAGTGATGTTCCCAGCATGGGTGACTTCCTCTCCGTTCCCCACAGCTGTCCCTCTCTTCTTATAGCAGCATGTTGAGTACTAAGCAAAGGCTGAGTATTGGGACAACATTTTCATGTCAAAATGCATTGAGAACCAAAGGCGTTTTGAAGCAGTTGAGTACCAAGGTACCTCTGTAGTTGCAGCATAATATCCTTAGGTGACCTAGCAGATAATATTGAAAGATAGTTTCCAGTTTTCTCCAAGGTTGCCATTTAACATGGTACTCAATGTCATGGCATTGGGTCTGCCATGGGCAATGTAGAATAACTCCACTTCTTCCATGCAACAGTTCTTCAGTTATTTAAACACTTATTTTGTATGTTGTCTCATTTATTTCTTCTGCACCCATGTTTTTTCAGCTAAGGAATTGGTTTCCAGATTCCTCCACATCTTCATTGTCTTCCTCTAGACTTCCAATTTGTTCTCGTTCTTTTTGAATTATGATGCCTAACATAAACACAATATTGCAAGCGATAGGGTAAAGTGCAGACATGAAATGCTCCACTTTGCTCCCGGTTTGGAATCGGGAGTGTGTGCGTGCTTGCTTCGTGCGTGCACAGCGCTTCTGCACATGCGCAAAACCTGCGCATGCAAAGAGCACCCGTTATGACATCTGGGCCGGTGAGCCGAGCCCCCCCCTCTGCCACTACTGTTTCGCCCGAACCAGGTGAACCAGAAGAATAAAATGGGTTAATAATACCCCATAATCTAGATTCTGTATCCTCTGTTAAGAAAACCCAAACAGCATTTGCCTTTTTAACAGCTTAATCACACTGCTGGCTCATGTCTAACTTAACAGTTAATAAAACACCTGGATGTACAGTATATCTAAAACTGGTCCCTTTTTAATTGAAGTTGGGGAAAAAATACTGTATTGGTACCTAGTTAGCACAACTTGGAAATGTGAAAAGGAATGTTTTTGAAGTATTAATGTTTCAAAATGTATAATTTACTTTTTAAAAAGCAATAAATGGAATAGACAATGAACTATACATCAACATATTGATGTATTTCATAACATCAAAGCCAATAGATTATTTTATTGGTTGATCAACTCTTGCTTTGTCTATAAAAAACAATAGCTGGGTGTTTGAGGGTTTTGTTTATTGAAGGGTCTACTTCTCTTAGAAGATAAATGAATCTGCTATATATTTGGTGCTGTAATCAATAATGTTAACATATTGGAACAAGAATGCGTAAGACTTGACGTTTTATTACAGAAAAACTGAACGCATGATGATGTAAAATTCTCTCACAAAGATAGCCTTGAAAAGGGTATTAGGATTGCATATGAATACAGTTTGAACATCACAAGATGAATGTATTATAATTCATATGTAAACATATTTCCATTAATTTCATAGCTCATGGTCTGAGGAGAAAAAATGTTCTCTTTACAGATACTCCACTTAGAAAATTGCTTCAGAAGTATAGTTAACAAGCAATTTCTTCAGTTGCTAATGTGTTATGTTTACAGTTTCCTGTTGTGGCAGTTGATCATTCTTTTAATTTTTTTCTCCCCCTCAGGTCCCTGTACAGTGGTCAGATATGGTAACTTTAAAAGCCAGAATGATCAATTATGGCTTACCGCGTTATCATTGGCTGACCCACGCTTGGAATTTCTTCCAGAGGGAGGTCAGTGATCAAGCAGTCAATAATCATGTCTGTGAACTATAAACTGCATTTTTATGTTGTCAAATTAAATGAGATTGATGTGATTTTTTTCTTCTTCTCATGTGTCCTATTACAGCTGTAAATGTGATGGACAGTAATGCATAACCAATTCCAATAAATTAATCAATATAATGAATAATCTCCCACCTCTTGTCCACGTGAGGGATAGGAAACTGTCATATAGTTAAGCTAAAGATAAACAACAGGAGAAGGCAGTTACTGATTTTGCCTTGATTTTGAGTATGTCTGAAGCTGGGCAAAAATTATAACCAGAATCAGTATGTGGCATGAATCAACTTACCAGGCTGTCATGGATCATTCAACAATCCATGGTTAAAATTGTGATTTTGTTCTACATATGAGCTGAGCAGTGGTGGGATTCACTTACCTTCCCTACCAGTTTGCAAATGTGAGCGTGAGCGTGTAACTGATGATGGACAGTACTAATTTGTACATTAATGGAAACAAAGGCACAGAAGAATATTGACAGGCTGAATCATTATATAGAAAATACATGGAAGTATGCATAAAAAAGCTATCGATTCCAGATACTTCTACACAGATCAGACACAGTTTAAATGTCAATTATTTTCTTGAAATCTCTGCATTTAAAAATTTCTTGGCTGTGAATTGGTAAGTTTGTTTTAGAAACAGCTAAATAGGAAAACAAATGCAACTAATGAATTGCATTCTTCAAAAGCTCTGCATCTATTAAGGAAAAAAACAGAGCTATGATTTGTCTTTTTTGATGCAGGGGGTTGGTGGGGCGAGGGGAAGAGGCTTGGAAAAAACCCTGGTTTATTTTTTCCTGGGGACGGGGGAAGATCTTATTCTCTTTGCACTCTGGTGTCCTGCTTTAAGAATTGCAACCTTAATGAGTGTTGGGATTCTAAGTGCTGAAATTGTTACAGAGAGAGCACTTGTGGTGAGAAACTGTTATGGGTGCTAATTACAGACAGCTTTTTTTCTGTTTCATTGGGCAAATGAGAAGATTATGACCCTTATTATTACATCAATCACAGGAGAAAATGTGCAGTGATTTTAAAGAAAATTTTAAGAAAAATAATCATTCCTTAGTGGCTTAGTTTAAAATTATCTTTTTGGAGAAACTCTCTGGTGTAACCATAATGTTGGTGCATCCTCTAAATGATTCTGATTATTGTTAAGCCTGTTATTGCTATGTCGTAAACTTTTAAAACTTTTAATATCTGTATGCTGCCTGTTGAATTGAAGGGTTGAACTGATTTGGCAGATTGAACTGAATTGGCAGATACATTTTATAATGAAATAAAGGCTAACTACAGACATGCCAAAAACACTTACATGGACACACATGAGAATTGATAGGAGAGAGAGATGCTATTACTAACCGAGGGCCAGAAGTACAGAAGAAAGGTATATGCCACCGCTGTACTGAATAGAAATCTGAACAAGATTTCTTCCAAGTCATCTGGTCTATGCAAAGATATGCCTTGTGTTTATCCAAATTCCCAATTGCCCTGTAACCAATGTTTTCCAAGCTACCTAAAAATAATCTTAAACAAATCCATTATACATGACTGTGATTTTTGATGCTTTTTACAAGTTCCTAGCATTTACTTCCAGGTTCTGGCAATAAATACCCTTTAAATAAAATGGATTTGCTTAATGACCTCCTCATTTGCTTATCGACCAGAGGTGGTATTCAGCCGGTTTGGACTGGTTCACCCGAACCGATAGTGGAAATTGTAGGTCGGCCTGCCCACCCGCCCCACTCTAGGCCGTCCTATTTAGGCATCTTTTTGAGACCGGGCGCATGCATAGAAGGCATGCACATGAGCAAAGTGCATACGCAGAAGGCTGGGTGCATGTGTCAAAGGAGTGCGTGTGCCCACGTACCTGTGGTAACAATATGTGAAACCCACCATTGTTAACAACCACTTCATTCACAGGAAAAAAGGTCAAAATTCTGTGCAATAATGAGGTGATCCACTAAATGACTGTAATGACTTAATACCATAACTCCTGACTTAATTATGTTCATAAGTCAAGGACTACTTGTATATATGTTTCCATTTTAAAGGTGTGTTTATAGTAGCATTCCCATTTCAATATGCTGGCCTTATTAAATGTAGCTATCTTTCTCTGAACTTCTACATATAAAATTTTTGGATTAACCCTTTTTTAGAGTCATCTGGACAAGAAATTTGAAGGCTGGCATTTCTCATATAATTTGCTTGTTGTACAGTCTGAAGGATTTTAATCTGAGATTTAGTCTCTGCTAGCAAACACAGTTTTAGGTGCCTTTGAGATTCCATAAAAATGTTATTATTCAGAAACCCAGGAATGGGCAATTTTGTTTCCCATAGATTTCCCATCCCAGCTTCTGCTCTCCCAAAGTACCTGTCTCAAAACAAAATAAATATTTGTTTTATAATTTATTTATATTTATCCTGCCTTTATTGTTTTTTTATGGTGTACATATCTCATTCTTCTTTCTTCTCCAGTTTTCCCCATAACAACAATCCTGTGAATTGGATTACGCCTAGAGAGAATGACTGGTTTACAGTCACAGAACTGGCTTTCATGCCTAAGACAGAATTAGAACTCAGTTGCCTGGTTTCTAGCCTGATGCCTTAACCACTAGACTAAACTACACTCTCATTTTTTATTTTTTATTCATTATTTTTTATTTATTTTACATTAGAAAAGCAGTAGGATCTTTACTCCTTCAGCCAGTTGTTACATATCATTTAGAAATCTAGATCCTGTCATGAGAATTAGAAACTTTTTCTTAGAAAATGAAAAAGTTTAAATTGTCAGAAAAACAGAATTACTTTCATCCAGTCTTAATGGCACAGAAGTCAGAGTTTATTAATAGATTTTTTTCTCCTATAAACTTCTGTAAATTATGCCCATATTCCATTAACATTCTCTTGCCACATATGCAAATCTAACTTTTGAAACAGACATACTTGTGAAATGCATTCCAGGCCCAAAGCAATTTTTAGGTGGCTTAATTAGAAAAGCTGACTTACAGTTTTAGAAATAAAACTAATTTGGTGTATTTCCCATTTTAACATTATGCTAACTATAGCTGACCATTTACTGTTTAGCTTTTGAAAGTATTTGGAACTTACATGCTTTCTACTTTAGTGAGTACCTGTCTTTTTATTTCACTAAAGGCACATAATTTTATTTGGGGAACATTTATTTTAAAGTGAGGATACATTAATTTCCTAATAGGAATGCCTGTGTTTTTGATTTTCCATTTTAAAGCAGTGGCTTTGCTTACCAAGATGAGTCACAAAGGAAAACAAAGACCTTGAAGTTTGGACGATAATGTTCACATTTGTATTTTGAGAGGAATTTAATTTAGGCTCTCTTGAGGTTTACAAAACATCTATCTTCAGACACATAAGTGCTTTAGGTAGTTCAGTCAAATGGAAGAATAAGATGATGTTTGGCCTGGGCAAGATTCCAAGCTGTTTTTCGTTATAGCACTGAAGAGGCCTTGTTTTCTTCTAGAGTATTGATATTCAAAACAAGGCTTCCTTTAGAGAAGTTGCAAGCTTAAATGCAACTCAGAATTCTTCACTGCATTCTGTGGTCCTTATGCATCATACAATGCTTCTTTTGCAGTTTAAATGCTGTGGAGTGGTGTATTTCACGGATTGGCTGGAAATGACAGAGATGGATTGGCCTCCTGATTCCTGCTGTGTGAGGGAATTCCCAGGATGTTCTAAACAGGCACACCATGAAGATCTTAGTGACCTTTACCAGGAGGTAATATTTTAAACAAAAACCTGCTTCTAAATCTGGGAACTGGGTATTTTATTTGCTACAGCTGCTTTCTACCGACAGTATACGAACATCATTCTAAAGTCTTCAGCTGCATGCGGACATTGATAGTGGAATTTGGACTTTATTTTTTACTAGACAATGCATATCCTATTGCGTCATCATTTCAGAGTATTTCTTTAGCTAAACCAAGGAACAGAACGGGCGGGCATAAAAGCAGCGGGAGTAGGAATGATTTCATACTTCTTGGAAGCTTCCCCATTGAGTTTCTTTGTGGGAATCTGGCAGGGGGTATCACAAATTTTCCCTTCACAGATAAGTGGCTGCTGGTGGGAGGGGAGGGAGTAAGAGATTGTGAGATTGATTGGGAAATTGTCATAGAATGTTTAAAATAGCAATAGACTTATATGCCGCTTCACAGTGCTTTTTACAGCCTTCGCTAAGCGGATTACAGAGTCAACCTATTGCCCCCAGGAATTTGGGTCCTCATTTTACCCACCTTGAAAGGATGGAAGGCTGAGTCAACCTGGAGCCTGGTGGGATTTGAACTGCAAAATTGTAGGCAGTCAGCAGAAATAGCCTGCAGTGCTGCACTCTAACCACTGCTTCACTGCGCCAAAATGAATGTCATATGACAGCAACAGTAGCACTGAAACAACCAGTAGCACTGAAACAGCCACAGCGTCCCCAAATTTCATTCCCACAGGTCCTAGATTTTGAATGCATTCTGGAAATTGAGCCATTTGAGGTACCTTGGTTTAAAAATTATCTCCCTGTGATGCACTGTTTCACACAGTTGAAGGTCATGCTAATGAGAATTTTTAGTACTAGTATTAGTATTAGAAGTAGTAGTAGCAGGGTGGGATTCTATCAGTTCCGACCAGTTTGGGTGAACAGAAAGTTCCGACTATCAGTTGACCTGTCCACCCATCCCTGCTCTATCCTGTCCTTTATATCCTGCTTTCTAGCTCATCTCAATCCCACGACACAGCTGATTTCCCCCCCCAACTGTTTTATTTACTATTGCTGACTTGCAAGGGAAGCAGCTGAGCTTTAAATGCTCCATTTTCAGCACTGCGCACACAAAGCATATATGTACACAAAACACGTGCTCACCAAACCAGTTGTTAAATCAGCAGCCACCCACCAGTAGTAGTGTGTGTATGTGTGTGTATATAAAACAGGGATGAGCATCCATAAGAAGTGGGGAACTTGCAGTCCACAGCACTCCTTTGGGGATATTCAGAACCAGCTGTCTCCCCCACCCTGAAAAGGTAGGAAAACGATTGAGTTTGGGAGGGTTTAAAAGGGTCAATTTCGCTTTAACCCCTTCTAGAGAAAGGGCCATAAAAGTGGTTTCTTCTTACTTTGGTGATGTCAAAGTATGTTTCTAACATGCCTCTTGTGAACTTCAGGAGCCAAACAATTAAAAGTCCAATCCTGGGCCATCTTCTATAAGGAACTGAGTTCTTTTTTTCTACTGGAATTTCTCTTAAACCATGACACAATTCTTGATTTTGTTCTGATCCAGGAAGACCAAAAACCACAAGTCTTATTTCCATGTAGCAATATTTAGATGCAAACTCTTTATGAACTTGGAGATAATATTGCCACCATGGCCCACAGCCATCAATAGCCTTACTCTTGGTGAATTTGAACATTCAAATCAGATGCTTCATGGGCAAATCATACAGAGCTGGTTTTCTTCTGAAATAGAAATCCGTCTTCCAAAGACAAATTTGGCATGACTCTCTATATATTTTTTTCATTCCCCTCTTCCAGCAGGAAATTATTGAATGTTTTTATTGGTGTCACTGTTAAGCCAGCCAAAAATAAAAATTCTTTATCAAGGAATTTAAAACATTAAGATATATTTAAATTTCAATGCAATACCTTAATGAAAGGAAAGTTTGGAAACCAAATGGCCTAACTTTTCTTCCTACCCATCTCTTTGGTCATTCTCTTTCAGAAACCTTTAAAAAATGGCTAGCATTACAGTTACAAGTAGTTCTCAACTTACGATCACAACTGAGCCCAAAATGTCTCCATTTTATGACCTTTCTTGTCACAGTTATTAGACTAGAACAGAACAGAATAGAATAGAATAGAATTCTTTATTGGCCAATAAATGGTTGGACATATAAGGAATTTATCTTTGGTCCCTATGCTCTCAGTGTACATAAAAGAAAAGACAATTGTTATGTTAGTAATACAGTTGTTAATTGAATTAGGCTTCCACATTGAATTTGCTTGTCAGAAGTTTGCAAAATGACCCTGGGACACTGCAACTATCATAAATATGAGGCCAGTTGTCTAGCATCTGAATTTTGATCAGGTAACCATAGAGATGCTGCAATTGTCATAGGTGTTATAAGTCACTTTTTTCAATGCCACTTTGAATAGTCATTAAACAAAATGTTATAAATCGAGGATTACCTGTATACATTATGATAAGATTATGAACTAAAGATGTTGACTAATTGCTTCAACAAATTAAACTTCTGCTCATTTTATGCTCTTTCTTCATATTTCAATCATCTAAAGAACTGAACTACAGGATTTTGTCTGAGGTTGAAGATGAATGAAAACCTTATAATTTGACAGCTGTTATAGGAGACACAATAAGTGATTTTATTCTCACTTGCCACAAGCTTCGAGGATTTCTAAAAACCCAAAGGGAGGAAAAAATGTGAGAGATGTAGTCACTTTTGATTTCCACCATTAGAAATCTGGAACCTTTTAATTCAATTCCATGCAGTTTTCTTTTTGTTCCTTTTCTGCCTTTAAGATAAACTGTTCTAAACGTTTCAGGTTTTTATTAAATATCTAGACCAGCACTTGAAATTTAGTCTACTTTTAGAAATCTGTAGAAAACTTGCTGATCAATATTATTGGCCTTTGCTGAAAATAAATGTGAATGCTTTAAAAGGTTTGTAGTGAAGAGTTAAACTGAGATTTAATCAAAGTAAAAAAAATATTGCAAATGACTTGAACATTTAAAATGCATACAATGTTTACTAAAATTACCCCAAAGCAGCCTTCTGCTAACATATCTGATTACTTAAATCTATTTTTATTTAAGAGTTATATCCATTCCCATTTCCAGGATAGCAGAATGTTGCTGAAATCTAATAAAAAGTTACTTTCAAAAATCCAGAATTAGCATGGGATTTTTCTCTAATATTGAAAGCTCACAAGAGCATGTGCAAGTGTTCTGACCCAGCTCCCCAAACATGGATGTGAACTGCAAAGATTCCTTTATTAGGAATGCTGACAGTCCTGGCAAAAAATTTATTCGCAGGCTAACAAATCCATCCATCTGGAAGATGAATAGTTATCTGCCATATTTATTCATCACCTCCCCCTGCCTTTTATCCCCAGAGTTAGGATGGGGCCTTGATAGCAGCAGTGGCTCTTCCTTCCCCAGGATTGGCCCACAGCTTTCCACTGCTCTCCTCTTCTCTGCCTTCTGCGCAGCTGCACGTCAGGCACTGGACCCAGCTATTCCCCCTCTTCTTCATCAACCACCTCCAGACCTGGGGACTGTTGACTCTCTTTCTGAGGGCTGATAGACAGCCCAGGCTCCGCCTCTGTCTCTCTCTCTGACAGCTCCATTCCCTCTTCCCCTTCGGAGCTCACAGGTTGCCCTGACGCTGACCCTGACTCCCACACCTCTTCCTCCTCCTCTGAGTTGGCTGCTGGAGGGGCCTGCAGCCGACAGGCCATAATAGCAAGGCAAAGGCAAATCTAAGTGAACAGAATGTTTCTTGGACAAGATGTAAAAATTGAGAAGATTTTCTCATCTCTGTGGGTAGATCTAGAGAAAGTCAGCTGGAAAATGATATAGATAGTCCTTAGTTAACGACTGCTTGTTGAATGACTGAAGTTATAACAACAAGGAGATTTATCACTGATTCTCACTGTTGAAGCCATCACAACATCCCCAGAGTTACACAATTGTGATTTGTGAGCCGGGCACCTGGCTCAAAATTATGACAGTCACAGTATCTGGCAATCACTTGATCACCATTTGCAAACTTTGCCAGTTTCCAACAAACAAGTCAATAGGGAAGTTGCAAATGGTGATGATGTCATGCTTATCAAATGCATAGGATTCACTTAAGAAACGCAACTGGAATTGCCAGATTGCTGTCGTAAGTTGACATCACATTACATCACATTTTACAACAGCACCGTTTAGTAACACAGTTGCTGGTCTCAATTACTGTCCTTAAGTGAGCAGTACCCGTATTAGCATAGAAATGGAAAGTCCTTTCACATTCCAGAATCCCAAACTGAATATAGATTTTCCACAAAAGCCCTTGGAATTGAAGTGGAAAATGGAGCAACATTTCCTCACAAATATTAGAATGACCATGTTGCCCTAAGGCCATAGACCCTTAATTGGTACAGCATTCATACAATCTACAGATGTGGGCTGCCTGTATGTATTCTTCCTTGGGGCCTGTCCTTCCTTCTATGATGTGTCTTTCTTGTTTCATATCTTCACAAAATCTTTTGTGCAGCCACATTGGCAGCTTCACTCCTGGATCATCACTGAGATTGCTTGCGATTGTTCAGTACCTGCTTTTTTTAGAACTTCTTTTCATACATATTCCTTTTCTCATAAGTGTCTCACTACAACTTGCTATTGCTTTACATTTATTAAAATTGGCACAGATTCTGGGGCAACTAAAAACCTCCTTTGCTTTAATTTTATATTTCCTTATTCCTTATGTCAGAACTATCATGACTCCATGGACAATGTTCCTCCAGGCCTTCCTGTCCTCTAC